ACAAATTAAAAAATTAAAATGGATAAATTTGTAAATAAAATTAAAAAATTTTAATCCATTAGCGGTTTGATACAAAAAGCTACATAAACTAGCTTTTTCAATCCGGTAGCGGTTTGGACTCTAACCGCTATCCGCTAGTCTCAAACCACTAAATAAAAATTTTACCAAACACTTTATTTATAACGGTTTCGAAATATGTAAATTTACCAAACACATATATTTAACGGTTTAGGTAAAACCGCTAACCACTACCCCAAAACTGCTATACCAAACGGGGCCTAATTTTAATCCACACTCCAACACCTACAATCCAAGATGAAGGAGCCATCCTAATTTGCATGGAGTAATAATCAAGTGAGAGTACCACCAGGTTTTTAGCAACAAAATCAGCAAGAAAAGAAGCCAAATTTGGAGGAGTTGGTGCACAAATTTGTTAGTAGTACAGAAGCACGATTTCAAAATCAAGAAATAAGGTTTCAAAATCAAGATGCTGCTATTCGGAATATAGAAACGCTACTTGGACAGATTGCTGATATGGTTTCTGGAAGGGTTTAAGGGGGTTTGCCAAGCAATAGTGAAAAGAATCCAAGGGAGCAATTGAAGGCTATCACTTTGAGGAGTGGGAAAGAACTTAAAGAGGTAGGACAATCTGATGGGAAAGAACAAGGTGTGGAAGCTGGTGAATCAAAGCAAGAGGAGAAGCCTAAAAGACTTTTTCATGATCCGAATGTCAAGCCTTATAAGCCGAAAATCCCTTTTCCCCAAAGATTTTTGCAAGCTCATTTAGACAAGCAGTTTTCTAAATTTTTAGAGGTGTTTAAAAAGTTACATATTAATATTCCTTTTATTGATGCTATTTCGCATATGCCAAGCTATGCAAAATTTTTGAAGGAGATCCTTGCCAATAAAAGGAAGTTAGAGGAGTTCGAAATGGTGAAGTTAAATGAAGAATGCTCTGCTATTCTTTAGAATAAGTTACCTCCTAAGTTGAAGGATCTAGGGAGTTTTTCTATTCCTTGTATTATTGGCAATATTAATTTTGATAAGGCTTTGTGTGATTTGGGTGCTAGCATTAATTTGATGCCTTTTCATGTATTTAGGAAACTTGGATTAGGAGAACCTTCACCTACCACAGTCTCTCTTCAATTGGCGGATAGAAGCATAAAATATCCAAGAGGAGTGGTAGAGGATGTTTTTGTTAAAAGTTGACAAATTTATTTTTCCTGTTGATTTTATTGTTCTTGACATGGAAGAGGATTTTGAAATGCCTTTAATTCTTGGGAGACCATTCCTTGCTACTGGTAGAGCTCTTATTGATGTTCAACAAAGGAAACTTAGCCTTAGAATACATGATGAGGCGATTGTTTTTAATGTGTTTAATGCTATGAAACATTGTGATCATGATGGTAGTGCTGTTTTAAGGATTGATGTGGTAGACAATGTAGTGGCTGAAAATTTTAATGCTTCTAGATTAGATGATCCTATTGATAATTGCATTGTTAATGCTTTGGATGTGAAAGCTGATAGTGCAGACAATAACATTTTGGAGGCAGCAACTATTCTTGGGGAAAAATGCCATAGGCAGCCACAAAAAGGAGGGAATTTTCTGCCCTTAGATGCACCGTCCACTGTGACAGTCAAGCCATCCAAAGAGAAGCCTCCTACTGTTGAATTAAAACCTCTTCCTTCTCAATTAAAGTATGTTTATTTGGGTGATTCAAATACCTTACCTGCTATAATTTCTGCTTCTTTGACAGGAATAGAGGAGGAAAAACTCTTAAGGGTGTTGCGAGAACACAAAGGAGCTATAGGATGGAGCATAGCGGTTATCAAAGGATTTAGCCCTTTGGTGTGCATGCATAAAATCTTGCTGGATGAGGGGCACAAGCTGATGGTTCAGCCTCAAAGATGCCTTAATCCTAACATGCAAGAGGTGGTAAAAAAGGAGGTAATCAAATGGTTGGATGCAGGTATTATTTTTCCTATCTCTGATAGTACTTCGGTGAGTCCTGTGCAAGTAGTGCCTAAAAAGGGTGGGACAACTGTGATAAAAAATGAAAATGATGAATTAATTCCCACTAGAATAATAACAGGGTGGAGAGTGTGCATAGATTATAGGAAACTTAATGAAGCTACTAGAAAAGACCATTATCCATTGCCATTTATTGATCAAATGATTGAGAAACTTGCTGGACATGAATATTATTGTTTTTTGGATGGTTATTTTGGTTATCATCAAATTCCTATTGCTCCTGAGGATCAAGAGAAAACAACATTTACTTGCCCATATGGTACTTTTGCTTTTAGACGAATGCCTTTTGGTTTGTGCAACGCTCCAGGTACGTTCCAAAGATGTGTGATGGCTTTATTTGCTGAATTTGTTGATGAGTTCATGGAAATTTTTATGGATGATTTTTCGGTTTTTGGCTCTTCATTTGATGGATGCTTACATAATCTGTCTAGGGTGCTTAAAAGATGTGAGGAAACTAACCTAGTATTGAATTGGGAAAAATGCCGTTTTATGGTTAGGGAAGGTATAGTGCTAGGTCATAAAGTATCCTCTAAAGGTATTGAAGTTGATAGAGTTAAAGTTGAGATAATTGAAAAGCTTGCTCCTCCTAAATCAATTAAAGAAATTAGAGGTTTTCTTGGACATGTTGGTTTTTATAGGAGATTTATTAAGGACTTCTCAAAAATTGCTAAGCCTCTTACTAATCTCTTGGTTAAGGAAACACCATTTTTCTTTGATGATGATTGTATGAATGCTTTTCAATTGTTAAAAGAGAAACTGGTTAATGCTCCTATTGTTGTTGCACCTTGTTGGAATTTGCCTTTTGAGATAATGTGTGATGCTAGCAATGATGCTTTAGGTGCAGTTTTGGGACAAAGAAAAGATAGGAAATTTCACACCATTTATTATGCAAGTAGAACAATGAATGATGCTCAAAAGAATTACACTACTACTGAAAAAAAGTTGCTTGCTGTGGTGTTTGCTTTTGAAAAGTTTAGGCCTTATCTAATTTTGTCCAAGGTGATTGTTCATACTGATCATTCTGCACTTAAATATCTGCTTGCTAAAAAAGATGCCAAACCTAGGTTGTTTGCTAAATGAAAGATTAACTTACTTGAGAAAGCTGGTTAATTAATTTAGGGAAATCCGCCATCTCATGCAATAACACTATTATTTGAACTTGAATTAAATTAATAAAACAGTTGCATAATTCAGAATTAAATGAAATCCAAACCTTAGTTCCTTCTCATTCATAGTTTTTTTAACTTAGAAAATTCGTTAGTTTAATTTTCTTTAGTTGACTTAGTTTTTTAAATAGTTTGGTTTTCCCTATTAATTGGTTAATTCAACTTAGGTTAGATTAATAAGGTCTTGGTAGTGTAGGATAGTTCTCGAGCGAATGATATCTTACTCGTCTTATATTGCATAATCGATTAGATTCACTTGCCTAAAAATAGTGCGTATTTGGTGCATCATTGTCCCACACCTTGACCTTCTACACCATTATGGTCAAGCCACCGCCGGCCTCGTGGCTTCATCACACGTAGCTTCCCCCAACCGTGCATTGGGCGCTTTGGCGGCCCTTGGTAGTTGCATCACCTACGCCCTCTGGTTGATTGTTCAGGTAATTACAATTTAGCAATTTGCTCTAAAAATGTTGGGAAAGTTTTCTTTTTAACTTAAAAGTTTTGGTAAGTTTTAAATTTTACACTTTTAGAATAGACTTTGCAAATTTTCAGTTTGATCAAGCTAAAAGAAGCTAAAAAATATATTAGTTTGAGATGAAAAAAAACAAAGTGTCCTTATCGAATTTAAACATACTACAAATTCATCAAAAATATTTCAATATTTTTCAATTTAAATTAAACAGTTATCTAGACTGAAGAATGTGTTATATTTAAAATATGATGTCCAATAATTATTTTAGTTATGTGTTTCTGGCATTGATTGGAATAATTTGTACTAAGGTTCACTCGCACATGCGAGAGTGATTATCTAACATTCTAAACCATTTCGGGTTTCTGTAAATACTTGCAGACAAAAATGAGTGAGAAATATCCATGTCATTATACGAGCACGGTACTAATGTGTGTGATGGGAGCAATCCAATCTGTCGCTTATGCATTATGCACAGAAAAGGATTGGAGCCAGTGGAGGTTAGGATGGAACGTCAGGCTCCTCACTGTGGCTTATGCGGTATGTTATTATTATAGTTATAAACCAGATGGGCTTTTTACAAATCAATAACTCTGGACTTTGAACTAATTAATTATGTGTGTTTTACAGGGAATTCTTTCTTCTGGGTTGATGAATATGTTAATCTCATTGTGTGTGCGAATGAGAGGTCCACTCTATGCTTCAATTTTTAACCCTTTAATGCTAGTGTTGGTAGCTGTCGCAGGATCCTTGTTTCTTGAAGAGAAATTATACTTGGGAAGGTATGTATGCCTAAGTGATTCATTAATATTAATTTTTTTTAAAAAGAAAATAATTAATATATTTTTTTATCTAACATATCTTATGATATTTATTAGTTTAATCATTAAATTTTTTAATTTTTAATTTTTTTAAATTTAAATTTTAAAAAATATAATTTTTTAATAATTGTGTTGTAAAATGTATTAAATCCAAGAGTATGTTAACCATTATTCTTAAAAAAAAAAAAGAAAAGAAAGAAGAATTGAGGGAAAGGTGGGATTTTTTAAATCCAATCTTTGTGGCTAATCTGAAACAATTTGGTTTAAATTTCACATTTTCTTTGTATTATTACAGCGTATTAGGTGCGGTCCTGATTGTGTTGGGATTATACATCGTGCTGTGGGGCAAAGGCAAGGGGCTAAAGAAGATGACTCAATTAATGCCTTCGACGAGCCCTCAAATAACTGAACCGATTGAGATTATTGTCAAATCGCCTACATGTCTTAAAGGTTTATCAGAGGGATTGGAAGAAAAAGAAGCAAACGGTAGAAGAGATGGAATAGAGGAGAAAGAAGTGATGGATGTAGAGAATGCCTCTAATTAAATCATGTTTTAGAAATTTAAGCATCATATTTGCTTTAACAAGGTAGGGCTGTTCTATTTTATTTATAATCCACGAAATGTGAAGTATATATATGCTAGTCATATATATTATTAGTTAGACAATGAATTATATAATAAAAAATGATTATAAGTTTAAAATTTTAATTTAAAAGGTTAAGTTTTTAATCTTATTTACTATAATAGACAGAAGCCTTGTTGTTAGCTGTATGTAAAATTCCTAATGTAATTCCATAAAGCATTGGTATAAAAGGAAATTCGATACTATTCTAGATTAATGACATACAAAATGGACTTGGAATTTGGAATGACGCAATTTCCACTACAAAATTTGGCAAAAATCAGTAGCCAACCCTTCACTTT